TGCTGAGAAGACAGCAAGAGAAATGTGGAGAACAAAAAAAGCCCCTTTACAAGCTTTCATCGATTTCACAAAGGCTTTTGACCATGTCAGTAGAAACAGACTATTTGCTCTTTCTAGAAAAGACAAGATGTTCCTTTAAGTGCTAAACCCTGAGTTAGTCCTTCCATGAAAACACATACACTACAGTCCAATATGACAGTTCAGTCTGAGGCTTTCTAGATTCATGTACTTGCACCAACCTTGCTACTAAATAAGCTTTTGATCATTCATCTGAGGGAATTTACTTGTTCACAAAATCTGATGGAAAGCTGTTCAATCCTGCAAGATTCTGATCTAAAACAGAGGCTCAGGAGGTCCTCATCCAATACCTCCTCTTTGCTGACAATGCAGCAGCGAAAACTTACCCAGAAGCCTACCTAAAATGTTGAGAACAGTTTTTTCAAAGCCTACTATGGCTTTGTGCTTACCACAAGCCTAGAAAAAAAAGAACGTAATGTGCCAACAAGTTGAAGCAGCACACTTGTGACGTAGTGGGGGTACTTGCTGGGCTGTGGTGACCTCTGCTGTCTGGAGCAAGACCCAGCAGGGAAAACCTCACTATGCAAAGGTGATGCCAAACCGGTTGAACTAGATACCCCCCATGGAGAGGAACAAAGGAAGGTGGAGGCTGCCCTGGCTGTGGGGCAGGGCTGGAAGAGAGTGAGTTGAGTTGCAGTCTGGGAGCATGGAGGAGACAGCCTAGGGAAAGGGGCTGGAGTTTAGGGGCCCAGTCTCCCCCCCATCGCAAGGGGGCCTGAGGCATCCTAGCCCAGCTCTGGGTCCAGATTACATCTGTGCTGTTCTGTATCCTGGAGAGGCAATAAACTTCCTCTATTCCACCGGCTGGTGCAGTCTGTTTGTGCCATTTCGGGGTGCAGGAGACGGGGGACCCCCAACGCGCCGTCACAACACTCCATCAAGATCAACAACTATAAACTTGAAGTGATGAACAAGTTCACTTAACTGAAGTCCACTACTGCAGTCAACCTTTCATTTGAAATGGAACTCAACATCCATATCATAACAGCCAGCATAATAATGTCTAAACTAAACAAGAGATTACAGCAAAACAACAAACTGACAACACACCAAGATCTCTGTGTATTGTGCATATGTTATCTGCACACTTTTGTACTGGAGCATGGCATGGAACTTCTACTCTCAGCAAGAAATGAAGCGCAACAGCTTTCATATGAGTTACCATCACTGAATCTTTGGAATATCCTGGGGTGCATCTACACAGCATCCTTAAATTCAAAATAAGATAGACAATTTCCATAGTACAAATTGTATCTTATTTCGATTCTATTTCATAACAGCTTAGTTACACGGTGCCAAATTTCAAAACAACACACCATTTAGAGACAGGGATGACGAAATAGCATGCCCATTATTTCAAAAAATATTTTGAAATAACGGGAGGCTTGTTAAGACATAGGGTAGCTATTTTGGGATACCTCTGGTATCCTGAAATAGCTGCGCAGTGTAGACATACCCCTGGAGGGATAAGCGGTGCTCAAGCAAGCTAGTATACCCAGCATGCAAACAATCTTTAAACACAAACTCCTCTGCTAGCTTGAGCATGTGTGCTAAATGAATATGATGAGCATATCCCAAAGGACAAGCTCTATGGTGAGCTGGCATCTGGAAAAAGACCCAAAGGATTTCCAAAATTTCATTTCACGGATGTGTGCAAAAAAGAGCTCATGGACAACTGGGAAGATCACACTCAGCACCACAGCCTTTGTAAACAAGAGCTTAACAAAAGTCTCCAGAGTTACAAGAGAAAGCAGGCCAGCATAGTACAGGAGAAAAAAGTTCACAGAAGGCAAAGCTAAAACATAACAGATGTAGCAGATTTGGCTCTCTCAAGTGGGTCTCTTCAGCCATAGCCAAGGCTACCATAAAACTAGTTGAGTAAATTCTTTACCTCTCAATACTGCATATGTATTCCTTCAAGAATCAAGGATGCCTATTGCTACTGATGTGTTAAAACCTGCATGCTATAACAGCTTGGTACTGTGGCCTAACATCCAGATTAACTTTGAAACTTTCAAGCTTGAACAGCCCGGTCTGCTCTAAAATGGCAGAGACAAAGCTGAGAGGTGGGATAGACTAGATGTGCCAAAAGGAGCCCCAAGAGGGAAAAAGCCTGGAGAGAAAAGCTTATCTGGAAGGTTTCCTACAGAACTGCAAGGAGCCACAAATATGAAAAAGTAACTGAGAACCCTTTAAAGTAGTCTGCTTGTGGGAATTAACTTGAGTAAACAGACCAGAATTATAGAACGATCACTATGTTTGAGATATGGTATTGTATGACTAAAGCAACTTCAAGGACATGTTATTTTGGTTAAGACTTGAAGACTTATTTGGAGTGGGATGATACAAGAGTGTGCCTGATTACAGAAGCATTGATCTTTCAGTCTGGAACATATCACCCCACACCTGTGACATTTTCCCAATATGCAGACGTTTTAAGTGATGAGTCTTAGGCTGCACATATATTGCTGGCTAGCTGCAAGAACACACTGGAAGTATCTGACAGAGGCATACTTGCTATAGTAAAAAAGAAACACTTATGTCTAGTTCTCCAGAGCAGAGTCCTCCTCTTTATGTGCTAAACCAATGACAGAAATTTTACATTATTACATTTACAACAGCAAAATTAGATCTTGTAACCTTTTCAAGGCACTTACTGCAATGACGTCATTCCTTTTAACCATTCTTGCAATGTGAAGTAACCCATGTTTTGTGCATCCAATTTCCAAGCTAGAACAAGCATAACGACCTGTTTATAAAAGAGACAATATTAGGACGGAGTAGGACAAAAGATTTCTCAAAGTTTATAAATAGGTTGCCAAATCCTTTTATTCAGTTTAGATTAAGATTCATTCAAATGTGAGCGGAACAGGCAGGATGTTAAAACTCCTACTACAGAAAAAATATTTTTAAAAAAGGTTTACACACTGATTAAACTGCTCTTTTATTCAGAAGCACTTCTATTTTAAATTACTAGATTTCAATTGCATTCTACCTCAATTCTCAGATCACCTCACACCCTCAGTCTGCTCCTGCCCCCTACCTCCTACCCTGACCCTGAGTTGCAAGCCCTCGAGTTGAGCGAACTGGAAATGCCGCCAGTATTCGATTCTCTGGAAACAGTAGCACACTAGTGCAGTCAAACAAGCACAGACTGGTGGGAATTGCATAGTACTACAAGCATGGGATGATCAGCAGAGCAAAATTTCCAAATACACAAGGCCACTTTCTTGGAACTTTGCAAATTGCTTTCCCCCGCCCTGAAGTGCAGGGATACCTGAATGAAATCCGCTCTGATCGTGGAGAAGCATGGGACAATTGCTCTGTAGAAGCTTGCAATGCCAGACAGCTACTGGTGAGCTGGCAATCCATTCAGAGTGAAGAAATCTAAAGTGGGGGCTGCTGTGATACAAGTGGCCAAAGCAAACCCTTCTGCTATGGATAGTGACACTAGAAAATGTGGAGCACTTTGCCACAATGGGGTTCCCTAGCTGCAATGGGGTGTTAGACAGAACTCATACTCCCAGCTTGGCACCTGACCACCTTGCTAAGGAGCACATGTAAACCACAAGAGAGCTACGTCTACACTGCAGGCTTCTTGCGCAAGAACTTTTTGCGGAAGATCTCTTCCGCAAGAAGTTCTTGCGCAAAATTGCATTCACACTACCATGTGCTTTTGCGCAAGAGAGCATCCACACTGCCATGAATGCTCTTGTGCAAGAAAGCTTTGATGGCCATTCACAGAACAGCCATCAGACATGTGCTTTTCCAGTAAGGGTTTCCTGTGGTCCATCCACACATGCCTTTTTGCACAAGAGGTCTTGTGCAAAAAGGCTTATTCCTTGTAGAAAGAGGAATAACTCTTGTGCAAAAAGCCCTGTCTTCTGATAATCTACTGTACTTTTTCTTGTGCAAAAAAGCGCTTCGTAGTGTGGATGCTCCACGAGTTTTTGCGCAAAATCTCTGCAGTGCAGACGTAGCCAAGGAGTACTTCTTGGTGCTGCAAGCGCTGGCAGATCACAAGAGCCATTTCACAGAGGAATCAATGTGGAAAAGTGCGTGATGTGCACACCTTTAGAACTCCTGCCTTTTCGGAATGATGCACGGTGGAACTTGTCCCCCCCAGATTGGAAATTTAGGATCAGAGAGGGGGAAATGCCAATAATGATCATTGGCAAACCAACCTACCCCTTGCTCCCATAGCTCATGAAGCCATAGACAGGCAGCTGGAACCCCAGTAAGGAGCAGTTCAAAGAACAGGCTGAGCTAGTGCAGAATGAAAGTGGAATGTGCTTTTGGACATTAAAGGGAAGGTTTAGGAGTCTACTGACTATGTTAGATTTCAGCAAACGCAACATTCCTTTTGTGGTGACAGCCCGCTATATGCTCCATAATATTTGTGAGAGCCACAGGAAAGCTATCTGGCAGGGTGCAGGGCTGAGGCAGAGTGCCTAATCAGAGATTTTGAGCAGCCAGACACCAGGGCAATAACGAAAGCACAGAACGGGGCAGTGCAACTCAGAGGCTTTGAAAGAAAGATTTATGAATGGTCAGTTTTGAGAATCATGCACATTGCTCTCAACAAGGCGCCCCTGCATTCAGTGGGTTTACCTGTTACCCCTCTCACTACATAAAAGGGACAGAAAAGGAGTCCATTGTGGGACCCTTGGTGTGGGGGGAAAAAAAAATCAGACATGTGAGGACAGTCTTTTGCTTTATGATGCCCTTGAGTTCGCCCTCCTGTGTCCTACGGTCCCTGGGGGTATGTCTACACTACAAAGTTAATTCGAACTAACAGTCGTTAGTTCGAATTAACTTTCATAGGCGCTACACATACAAACCTCTAGTTCGAACTTAATTTGAACTAGCGGAGCGGTTAATTCGAACTAGGTAAACCTCATTCTACGAGGCCTAACGCCTAGTTCGAATTAAGTAGTTCGAAGTAAGGGCTGTGTAGCCACTTAATTCGAACTAGTTGGAGGCTAGCCCTTCCCAGCTTGTCCTGGTGGCCACTCTGGGCCAAGCCAGGGAAACTCTTCTGCCCCCCCCTCCTGGCCCCAGAGCCCTTAAAGGGCCACGGTCTGGCTATGGTGCCCATGCAAGCCTGCCAGCACCCAGCCAGCAGACCCTGCACCTGGCACGGCATGAGCCAGCCACATGCTGTCACCCAGGCCTCCGCCTCTTCCCAGGACCAGGCTGGCAGCTCCCAGGAGCCTGCCAGGGGCTGC